TCTGCTTGAACTCCATCACCACAGATCAGAAACTGGTTTCCGACAATAAACGATCCTACTGCACGAATCATGACCCCACCATTGCCACGTGGCTTGCACTGAAGCTTCTCAACGACATGAACGAGTTTCTCACTTGGTAAATCTCCTGCTAAGGTGTTTCGAATGTTTGATAACGCTGAGAAGATTTCTGTTGATCCTGTGTGACGTTTTCCTGAGAAACTGCAAAAAGAAGTATAAAACTTTACATATGTGATAGCATTGGATTATACAAAGTTTCAAGTTTGGTTAACCTGAAAACAGAAGTCTCAGTGTAGAGAGATTTTGTGTAGTGCCAAAGATCATCAAATCCATCAAAGAGGGAGTAATAATGTATGGTGAGCATCTGAACAGAGACACAATCAGATCATTCATGTTGTTAATCTTGACTAAGCAAAAGTACTAAAAAAACCATCATATACTTACATCTGCTATATCTTTCAATCTCTGAGTCGGATCAAAGATGCTTTGCACAAAACTCGCCAAATCTACTCTTTCCTTTTCGTGTTTTGTAATAAAGGGATGTGACAGAAGCTGTTCAATAAACAGAGGAAACACCAGATACAAAGCACCAAACTTTTAACAAATCTTGCAATTAAAACAAGACAAACAAAGCAAAGCACCACAAACATTTAACCAAATCTTGCTTTAACCAATTGTAAAGTGTGTCATTTTACGAATTTACCAAACCTGATCAGCTGTTGGTCTAGCTTCTGCATCTTTCTGGAGGCAAGCATCAATGAAGGAACAGAACTCTGGTGAAAATTCTTGTTTTGATGGTGTCGGTGATGGATCATCCAAGATCTTCCAATCGCGTAACACAAAAACGACAGATATTTAACAAGATTGTATATCAGAAAAAGACTTGGGGACAAGTTGATTTTTACCTGCAACATAAGGTTAACAGGCCCTTCATTAGCTATATAAGGAAACTCTCCAGTGCCACATTCGAAAAGAGCAAGACCAAGGCTCCATATATCAGCAGGATAAGAATAACTGTCATTCCTAATCCGCTCCGGTGACATATAGGTGACGGTGCCAACAAAAGTAGCACACTTTGCAACCACCATGTTCAGAAAATATACGTTAGAAAACCTATTATTGGATCCATAAGGTTAAAGCGTGAGATTCCATTACTAACCATAGCCATTGAGTTCTCGAGACCAGCACTTATCCCAAAATCAGTGATCTTTGGTTCCCCTTTGAGGTTTACAAGCAGATTTGCAGGTTTGATGTCTCTATGTACAAGATGTCTAGCTCCATGCAAGTAGCTCAACCCCTAGAAACAACACCAAGGATGAATATATATACACATAACACAACACACGCTTTAATCTTTGGAAATGTTGTAGATTGGAGAGAGAGTTAAGTATCTTTTACTTGCAAGAGTTTGTGGAACATTGATGAAAGAACCGGCTCAGGTATCTTCTTTGAAACTTTCAAGATATCTGCAAGAGATCCTCCATCCATGTATTCAAGAGCTATGCTGATTTGTCCAGAGTCAGGACTATAAAACGCTCCGTGAAAATCCACAAGCCCTTCGTGACAAGGAGCTTCACACAACGTCCGTATCTCTGTAAGCAGTTGCTGTCTTTTCTCCTGCTCAACCAAATCAATATAAACATTCAAAAGAAACATACTAAATGGTTATCAAGAAAGAGACAGCGATTAAACTTTTACCCTTTCGAAGATGTTGATTTTCTTCAAAGCTAGAATCCGATGATTCGGGATATGAACAGCGCGTTGAACAACGCTGCTAGCTCCGCTCCCTATAGCTCCGAAAACTCGCATTTCATGGGAAGCACATTGATACGTCGTCTCACAACTCTCTGACTCATCCACATGAGAAGTTGAACATTTCTGTAACCCGAGCTCGTTGAAGTTGTAAACTCCATATGATCTACTAAGCAAGTTAACAGTTCCACCATCTGATAACTTCACAAACAAAACAAAAGAAGATAAATTTTACCAAAATCAGAAAGCACAAGAACACCTAAAGCAACATTCTTCAATATGAAACTTACTAAATATGAATCGTTTGGGTCTAACGATGAGGATGAAGAAAAACCCTTCTCGGCATCAAACAATGGAGAAAGCTTCTTCTTTAGCTCCTCCAATGCCGCCATGTATACGTTATTTCTCTGACAAAGATAAGAGTCGATGTAAAAAAGCAAACAAAGTTGCTAAATTAGGCAACTTTTTTTTTGGGGTAAGGGATTTCAATTTCAAAAATTCTGAAACTTTTAACCATCTTAAAGTCAATAAAGTCGATTTCTTTCTTAAGGAATATGAAAAACAAAAACCCCAATTTTCTTCAATTTCTATGGTATTAGGATCAAAGTCGTGACGAGTCAACTAAATTCTCCAGAAGTCCTACTCATCACAGACTAAACATTACAAGAAGAAGAAAAAACTATTACAATTAAGTTTTACTCATAAGCAATACTAAGCAGACGGAGAAATGTTTCAGCTTTTATCTAATTATATGAAAAGACTCAACATATCACTCAAAATTCGTCAGAAACCGTAAGCAGGAGACTTTAAAGATCACAAATTTCAACAATAACCCCAAAATAAAAGCAGAAAACCTCAGATTTCAACAAAATCATAACGAAACCAATCGAACGAGATGATAAAAAGGAGAATGGAAAGATGTAAAGAATATTTGAGACTTTTGTGGACAAACCTGCAGGTGGTTTTAGACTGGCGAGCGCAATTTCAAGAAAATTACGGTTTTCGCTACCCGAAAAAAAGGAGTTGTAAAGAGAGAAGATGAATCGAAGTGGTGAGCAGTGGGACTTTTGATTGATTAATTAAAATCTCTTTTTTATTGACGTCTCTGAGATTTATATAACAACATAAACGGCGCCGTTTTTAGTGGCCCATTCTTTATGGTCTATAGCCCAGAAATGCCGACCATTTAACATGTATTTTGGCCCACTTACGGTTACCACCATTTTTAAAAGAAAACCAGATACACCTCTTTTGGATATGTAACCTATGTTTGGCGCTCTCTTTACTTGAGGCGAAAGCAATATGGAAAAGATTGAAAAATGGCCATCCAAAATCAAACAACTTCTCATGAACTCGAGGCTTCGAGCAAGCTGATTAAAAACTTTTTTTCTTTCTAAACTCATCCAAAATCATTTAAAAACCTATCAAATCTCAAATCTCAAATCAATCCATATTTTATATCAAACAAGACCTTTAATTCAAAATTATTGACTAAAAACAAAATAAACGGAAAATTACAAACCCAATCAAATTGAAATTAGCAAAAATAAATAATACAAAAAACAAAAAATAGAAATATTGGCTAAGATTTGATGGTTTGCAAAAAAATGAAACATACAGAGTTTATAAACTCATCTACATATGTCTACATAGTTAGAATTAGGGCAGTTCAGAAAGTCTGACATATAAATCTCTATTCTTAGGGTTATGGTTTGTTTGGGAGACGTGCTATGTGATCCTCGTGAAGATGATGTCCCCATTCTTACATTTGTTTTTGCTTATTTACATTTGGCAAGGAACGTTCAAAATGATGGCTTGGAAAGGGACTTTGGATGGCTTGACGGTTTAGTACCGGTCATGCTTGCTGACTTTGAGCATGGTGTGAGGCCTTGGTCGTTCTGGCAACTCATTGGAATCATCTTCACTGCTATCATCATTTACATGAAAAATTATATATGGTCTGGTTATGGTACGATACTTCAAATTAAGACAGGGAAATTAAAGGAAGAAACAGACAACAGTGGATTAGATACAGAGGAAAAACCGACAAGATTCTCTTCAATGTACTATAAATCCTTCATGTTTCTTAATTGTATAATTTAAAGCCAAAGCTCTGTTCAAACATTGTTCGTTTGGACACTATTAACTTACATCTGAATGCAAAATCAAATATATGTCAAAAATTAAGATGTTTAAAATGCTAAAAATATATAGTTTGGATGCGCATTTGCATCTCAAAAACTAAATTTTTGTAGTTTGTATATTGAAATACTAGGTTGATAATTTGTATACATTTTCATTGTTCATCAGAATCATGCTTATTTTCTATGTTATATAAAAATTCGGTCTGAGTTTTTTATTTGATAATTTGATAATTTGTGTTTTTTATTTCAGAAATATTTCAAAAACTAAAAATTTCTAAAATTTGTTAGAAATACAAAAAATTATGTTTCATAAAAATTATAGTTTAGAAACATGATGGAAACTCCAATATATTTTGAAAAGTAATGAAAACTTATTTTTTTATTTTTTTGGTAATAAATAAACAATTATAAAATTGAGCTTAAGTGATCAGTTTGATTAAAAGAGTGATTTGGTCACAATATATCTGTGATTGCCAGATCTCCCAATGAGGAATGAAAAGCCTCTACGGCTCTTATTAATTAAGCCCGTATCAGTTAGTTTTCTATTTCACTCTTTAAATTTACATCATTGGGATTTAGATTAATTAAAATCTCTCTTTTGTAATGTAAGATTTATGTAAACCCTGAACGGCGTCATTTCTTTGTGGCCCATTTATCATGTCTACAGTCCAACAATACCAATCATTTAACATGTATTCTGGCCCACTAGATATGGTTACCACAATTTTTTTAAAGAAAACGAGATGTACCTCTTTTGGATATGTTTGGCTTCTCTTTACTTGTGGCGAAAGCAATATGGATAAGATTGAAAAATGGCCAAAGCAAAAGGGAAGCATATCAAAAGTAAAGTTAGTGAACCTCCTCAATCAAACAACTTCTCATGAATTCGAGCAAGCTGATAAAAAAAAACTCTTTTTTCTTTCTAAGCTCATCCAAAGTCATCTAAAAACCTATCAAATCTCAAATCAATCCATATTTTATATATTCAAAATTCTTGACTACGATCATCTTTCAACAAGCAAAAGAACAGATAAAGTTTTCCACATATATACATCATCAAAATTTCCAATATAAATCGAATTCGACCCAAAGTTTTTAAAATATGATAGGAGACCAAAACGATTCTATTACAATATTCATTAATACTTTTGAATTCATAGGGAAACAATCATTTCTCAACAAGCAAAATATATTAAAAAAAATCATTTACAGAGCAAAGATCAAAGAGATCTAAAATGCAGAACTTTGCCGACTTGTTTCAAGACATCTTCAAGACAAAAGGGACTTGGCTGGTGAAACCAAAGCAACAGCACATCTTTCCGGTTTCGAGTATTTGTTGAACACAGCTTGTAGCTTGCTCTCCCCAACTCTCGAATGAATGAAAGCTAAAAGCTTTGAGCACTCCCTAAAAGCCACACATACACATACACAAACAAAAATCAGTATTGTATAATGATAATGATGAGTTTAATATCGAGAGAGAAGAGTAGAACCAAAGACTAACATGAGCTGATGTCCAGTGTAGCCTGTGTGGAACGTCAGAGTATCAGTCCAAGCAGGGGTCTTGTTCAAGAAGCATCTCGCTGTGTAGACTGCTGAAGCAGCGAGCATAGAAGGGCAGAACTTCAAAGTGTTGTAATGCATCATACCCAACTCAGCTAAGAAGTGGACCATGTTCTCCGTCTCCGTGTCAGGAACCGCCGCTTTGATGAACCTCACGAGGAACACGTACTGTGTTGGAACCGTCAAGTACCACTCTAGGTTTCCCAATATGGTCTTCTCCATCACTAGAATCTGCTTGTTGCTGTAGGAGTTGTCTGTGACGTATACCAAATCATCGACCTGTTCACACCACAAAACCCATTTCACATGGTTAGCAGATTCTCTCTAACTGACAATAGTCTCTTCTTTAAAATTGGAATATTCGTGTGTGTTACATACCTGAGGAAGCCAGATTTCTTCATATTTCGAAGCGATGAGCAAAGCACTCACACCTAGAAGCTGAAGTTCTCTTCTAGGCACAGGTTTCAGAGACAAGAAACGATCAATTATGTTGATGGTGAGGTAGATAGTCTCAGGGGACAGATCAAACTTGACGTGAACGTTTACAAGCCAATCTATAAGAATTGATCTCATCTTCTCGTTAATCTCAGGCTGAGTATGCATATACAGTTGAGGCTTGCTCTCATTCTGCAACAGTGCACGAAACAGCAAACTTCAAGAAACATTCACAAGACTTGTCCATATAAGCATATATACTACAACAAAGATTCCGACCATAAGTACCTCAACTTCTTTGTAGAAAGTGTACATGTCCTCGACATACTCCACAGCAGCAAGGTCATTGTCTTTGTCGACCGAGTCGATATCCAGAGTCTTGGAAGCAGCCTAAGTGTATAAGCGGTTCATCGAACAATCAGGACACTATCTAAGAAACATTGCAAGTCAATATCGATCACACATCAAAAAAGAGAATCTACCTTGCTTCGAGCATTGAGAACCGAAGTGTATGTCACTTTCTTCTTGGACGCATCGTTTTTCTTCTCCTCTTTAGCTTTTGCGACCTCGTCAGTATCAGGACTGATCAAAATCACTTCTTGGATAGGTTTTAATGGCTCCCGCTTAACAGCTCTCGCCTTCCTCTGAACCGCCCTTACAGCTTCTGGTTTCTTGGGCACAACCGGAGCTCCATCAAGAATCGAAGCCTTGCCCACATTGATCTGCTGTTTAGTGAGGAAGAAAATTAAAAAAAAAAAGTACAAAGGTCAGATTCAACAATCATATGTACTCACAAGACAAATTTTGAAAGAAAAAAAAAACAGAACCTTTTTATTAGCGGCGGCTGCAACTTGTGCGTTTCCGAGCAATTGGGAGCGGAAGTTACGGGTCAATGGGCGATTAATCTTTCCTCCTTCGGCTCCGGGAAGAGAAGCAATGTTTCCGATGTCGCCAAGAACGCGACGATTCTTTGCCACCGCGTTTTTCGCGTCGAAGGGATCACCTGTATTCCACAGAAATTAACCCATCAGATGCGATTTGAATCGATAATTTTAACCAATAATTTCAAATATAAGCAATCGAATCAGAAACCGCCGGTGAATCTAAATCGTCAATTATGATAAACCTAGGGTTACAGAAAAGGGGGAACAGAAATCAAATTGATCGGAGGGGAATAAACCTCTAACTTGTTGAGGAATGACTCGTCTCGTCGCCATGATCGTTCCTTTTCGATTTCTGTTTTTTTTTAACCTTTTTTCTTTTATTGATAAATGGCTGAAGAGAATATGAGAAGAAGGAGAACGATATAGAGCGTGAGAGAGAGGGATAGTGAGAGGACGAGCCATTAAAGAAAATTTCCAACGGTCAATTTTTAGCGGGCTTGGATTTGTAGCCGTTAGATCATGAACTTTGAATCCAACGGTGGATGAGTGAAGTGAATGAGATTCTTTAGGCGGTGTTTTTTTTATCCAGTTCCCACCTCTAGAGTTACCGTTGCACTGTAATGACAAAATCTGACGGCTTTTACAATTTTGTTTTAATTTATTCACCATTAATTACCTGGCTCGAGATTTAATTGGAATTAAATGGAAATTCCATGGCATAACTGGTATTCTTAGACAGTACAAATACCGATGGAATGTTTCAAGTAAAGGGCCAACTCTTAAGTCTTAGCGAAGGAACTGACATTAGGGAATACAGATTATTCGTGAACTCTCTTATGTACTAAACTCCCAAAGATGACAAAAGTTTCAAAACACTAATCAATTCGTATGAACAGACCCAAAGATGATGAACATAACTTACTTGTGACAAAAGCAAGATCGAAAAGGTTCGAAAAAGGGCAAAAACAAAAGAGAAACATATCAAAAAAAAACTTGTGAAGTTAATGAACCTCAATCAAACAGATTCTCATGAATTCAACTATTCAAGCAAGCTGATAAAATAATTTTATTCCCTTTATTAATCTCATCTAAAAACCTATCAAATCTCTAATCAATCCATATTTTACATCGAACAAGACTGCCCTTAATTCAAAATTCTTGACTAAAAACAAAATAAACGCCCTACATCATAGGTAAATTACGAATCCAATTCAAACTGAAATGAGCTAAAATAACGAACAATGCACAAATGATATAAACGTTGCCTAAGGTTTTTAGTGGTTTACAAACAAACAAAATTACAGAGTTTACAAAACTCATAACAAAATGTCTACATAGTGTTTTGAGGATTAAACCTCCTCCTACCTCCCCTTCTGTAGTAAGGAGTCTCATCCACGGTCCTCGTCACATACTCCATAAATGGTGATGGTGTTCTTGGAGATTCCTCATGGTATATAACCGCACCGCTTCTTCTTTCTGGTGTTCCCGGTGCTCCGGCCGCTACTGTTACCGCACCGTTTGTTGCAGCTCCAGGTCCTTGTTGGCGAAAATAGTTTCTATAGACTCCTACTGCTAACGATCCACACACAAAGGCCAGCAGTAACCCTAACACAGAGACCATCTGTAGTAGGGTGCGATCTTTAGGCGGAGCCACCAGGGATTCGCCCGTGTCGTATGAGGCATTAATTTCTACGCCTTGGCCTACAGAAAACAGTTTATAGTCTCATCAGATATTATTGTATGTGAAAGAAACAGAGCCTACTCTATCAAAAAACAGGTGATGAGTAGTATTAGTAGTAGCTCACCAGTAGCAGGGAGAGTGATGAGTATTCTATCTGTGAATTTCTCTAATCTTAGCACATTCACCTAAAAATGATCGGTAAATATCAGATAGCTTACTAAATCGTTGATGTTTTTTTATTGATAAAGCTTATATATAAGTGGGGGGTTTCAAGTGAAAAATCACCTTATATAGTGCACGCCCTGCGATACCATAATCTTCTCTCTTAATCAAGCTGATCGATAACATACTTTTGTTGCGCCAGTTAATTTGAACATCTGCAATGAGTAATTTTTGTAAGAATCATTTGCATTTCTTCATAACCAATTAAAAAAAAAAACCGATGGATATACGATTTTACCAGTGTTCCCAAGTACTGAAATGATGGTCTCGTTGGAATCCGGGTTCATATACAGCTGCAAGATATTTCCAAATCAAACTCGCATAAAGCACATTTTCTAGAAATCTAGGCTTTGCTTAATGATTTTTTTTTTCAGAAATGCAAATAAATTGATAACCTTGTTTGGTCCTGTTACAGAAAACCCTCCAATAAGAAGTGCAGATGCAGATCCCAAAACATGACGACCTTCTTTGACTGAAGCATTAATGGAGAAGGACACATGAGGTTTCATGTCTTTTGATCTAGACATTGAGTGAACAAGATGCTCCGGTGAGTATGGGAAGAAAAGGCAATACTTGTTGCCAGTATCAAGATCCACCCATGGCTTTGCATATCTTCAATCCAAGAAAAATGAGCGTCAAAACCATGCATAATTTATATATCATACGCAGAGATTCACTGCAAGAAGATAAACATCAATACCCTATAAACGGAGGGTCTACTTGGCAGTTAAACATGTCCATGTTTCCATTTTCCCTGTTGCAGTTTATCTCAAGATTAGTATAATAAGTTTTTTTATGTCTCCTACATGTTTACTAAAATGATTACATACCTGAATTTCACTGGAAATCTGTATCCTTCCGCGGGGACGTGAACATTTGTTAGTGTTTCTCTAGGAGAGTCAATATATATGGTGTTTCCGGGTAGCACTGTGACTTTTGTTTGCAGTTTCAAACCATGACCTTCAAATGTAACTGTGCCGATGCGACATAGGGATCAGCAGCAAGATCGAGAATATCTCTTAGTTCCCTGAAAATACAACTGAAAAGATAAATTTGATATTACCGTGAGTTGCGCCTTGGCTAATCGCTTCTGCTTGGCCAGAGGCCACATTGACAGATAGGACACTTGTGTTGGATGTAACCCATTGACCAGAGACTTGATGATCTGCCCCTATATATCACCATTGCAAGTGTCTTAGATTTTGCAATAGGTGTGTTTTTCACCACGACGGGCATAAACGTGCTTTAACTATGTAGATTTGATTAGAAATTTTACCAGCTATGCTGAAATTTAACAAATTTCCAGTGTGTATGACCGGGTTTTGAGGATCGATATGTGCTCCAACTGAAACCTGACGGAACAAAAAAAAAATCTGTGATATAGCCAATTGCAGATATTATAACAAATGTAAGTGCAGCTATACGACCAGCTACGAAACAATGGTACCAATCTTTATAAAGTTGGACAACAATATTCATGACATTAGATCATACCAAAACGTAGTCTGCTTTCCTGACGTTATCGCCCATGGATACTCGAATCAGAGCTTTGCCATGTTTCATTCCCTACATTATTAAGACAATGAGATTGGAGAGAAGCATATAGTTAGTAATCATAGATCGACTCTATGTCACAGAGAAGACTTCTTACCAAATGAATAAGCTATCTTGACAGATTCTGTTATATAAACACCGCATGTATCAGCAAAAGTTTGATTATAAAGATCAACGCACCTTGATGTAGACACCTGTTTGGTCATTCACAGTTTTGATGGATGCAACATCACGATGATTGGTTTCTACATTGTATGTAGTAACACCGTGTGCTTCGAGGAAAGCGATTCCTTTTCGAAACAAAACAGCAAAGATGTTAAAAAAAAAAAAAAAAAAAAAGCAAACATATCAAGAAAATTAAGCCTGCATATAAAAGTATGAGAGCGTTACCTAAAGTGTCATAGTAACTTAATGGAAGCTCAAGTTCACCGCCAACAGCAAGATCAACCACATGGAAAGGAATTCCCTCACTCTTCATTCTTATTTGAGCAACCTGACAAAATTCTACGTTACCAGCAAATGATGCAAGAAACTAATAAAGAAAAATAGCGAATCTGAGTGAGATAACTATCCCTACAACTGAAGAATAGTCCCACATATTCAAAATACCTCTGCAACTCTCACACAAGCAGCAATCTCAATCCTTCCACTTGTACGGTCTTTGGCCTGAATACAAGCAACATTGTCTCTATCTGTTGTTTTCACACTGTGGCCATCAATCGATATGGTATCTCGTTCAAAATCTGCCCGAGAACTACAGTCTTTCAATATGGAATAGACTATATTGCCTCTGTGACTTTGACCATCCCGGTGCTTCTGTGGCGCAAGAGATGAAGGCAATAGACTAGACGATGTATAAAAGGGCGGAAGAACCCACGTCATAGGAACCCCAAGAGAAAGAGGGAGATCGGGTACAACGGATAATACAATTGACGCTTCATATGTTCTAGATTCAGAATACAAGCCAGGAGACACGAAATCGCATGAGAAGGCAATTGTGACTCTGGTTTTGCCCGCTGATCTGCAATGGAAAAGATAAGCTGCTCATTAGAATGTGATGAGTCGTCTAGCTTATGTGCTGCTAAAGAGCTAAAGTTATTACTAACAAACTGTGTCAATCCCTTCTACTTCGAGGAAATATTCATCAACCATAATTGGACATTGGTTCTCATTTTATTACTCGTAGTTGTATGGAGACTACAGCACGTGCAACAGTCTTAATTTACCTTCCTTGGACGACACTGACAAAGCTAGCATTCTCTTCCACGTCAATGGAGGATGCATGGAAACTCAACACCTAAACAAGGAAAAACAAAGAAAACAGTCATTAACGTAGGAATGAAAAACAAGATTACTGCTTAAACAATAAGGTGAACAGTGAACTGAACCTTCTCATCTTCGATAGTCCACTTATATGCTCTGCAGAGCTCATAAAAAGACAGAAGATCCCCCTGAAAGTATGAAAAAAAAAGTCACTTTTTTTTGGCTACCAAAGGAGATAATAAGCACCGAGTTCTTTCTGGCTTATGATTCCCACCTCAAAAAATGATGGGGATATAGGCATTTCATGGCCAACGGCCACGGTGTCACTTTGAGCTATAAGCATTGCAGCAGCAGGAACACCTACTTCCGCATTGCCAACTGCCTGACAAAGTATAGTACCTTCGCTTCCGTATATTTTCGCATAGATTGTCTGGTCATAAAAGAAATTAGATCAAAGTGCCATACCTTTTGAATCCACATATTTCCTAAAGTCTAGTTGGAAACCCACTTCTGCTGTATCAGATTAATATTGAAAGGACATGAAATATTCAAAGCATGGTTCCCTTACCGTGTTACCGGGTGATGTTGCATACAGACGTCCTGATCCTTCGATATTTGCAACTTTGTTATCCACAGTGGTGTAGTCAATAGAAACATTCATGGTTGGGCCTCCTTCAACAGTGAGCTATACAAGGCACAGAAAAAAAAAAAAAGCTCATAAGCACACAAAAAAATCAATAGAGAACAACGAAAATAAAGATGGCAGTGACCCAAGAAATATGTACAAATTTCCCATCATACCA